ACACGGGCTGGTTTATACATCAGTTGTTGTCGCAGGAACCATCCCTGGTGCAGAGTGTTGCTGTGAAAAAGTGGTTTTTGGAACAAACTTTTGCATCCAGGAGTGGGTTGGGCTGAACCTAACCATCCTCAGCTGCCTCCAAGCCTTTTATTTATTTTTTTTTCCCCCCTTCCACAGAAAGTAGTAAAAAAAAAAAGTGTAGATTTCTGTTTCATAGAATCACAGACTGGTTTGGGGTGGAAGGGACCTTAAAGATCATCCAGTTCCAAACCCCCTGCCCTGGGCAGGGACACCTCCCACTGGTCTCCTTAAGGACCACTTCAGGGAGAACCCAAGGTCTCATGAATTTTTTGTTTGTTTTTTTTTTAAGAGGCAATTAAAAAATTAAAAAGAATAATCTGGCTTGGATGTAGAAGATGGAGCGTTTGGAAGAACCAGGGACTAAAGACCAGGCTGAGTTCTGGCTCTCCCTGCCTGGAGCATCTGGACTGGGAGATACGGTTTATTGATGGTGATGCTTTTTGTTTGTTGTGCAGGTGTCTATTTTTGTCAAAGTGAGGTTGACGGTTGGACAAGATGATCTTTAAGGTCCCCTCCAACCTAGAAGATTCTGTGACTGAATTTCCAGATCTTCCTGTGAAGAAATTGTAATGCCATTTCCATTGTTTATAAGCTCCCAGTTTTCATCAAGCTCTGGGGAGGTCCCCTGGTGGAAAAGCCAATTTCCAGATCTTCCTGTGAAAAAATTGTAATGCCATTTCCATTGTTTCTAAACTCCCAGTTTTCATCGAGCTCTGGGGAGGTCCCCTGGTGGAAAAGCCACCGGTGGCTGATGGTGATGGTTGGGCTCACTCCATCCTGCCTTGGCCCCTTTGCTGCGTCCCTGCCACGATGCTCCATCAGAGTCCAGCTCCCTCACCTTGTCCCCAGGTCACTCTCTGCAGCAGTTCTCCCCATGCCAGCCCCCCAGAACCATCTCACGCTGCGCTGATGGGTCCCAGCTCCATCTGGAGTCCCTCTTCTTGGCAAGGTGGGAATGATGGTGAAGCCTCACCTGGGGTTGGTTGTCCTCCCCAACCTGTGTTGAGCCACCCTGGAGTAGGAATGAGATTCAGGGCATTATTGGGGCTGTTCTGCCCCAAACTGGTGTTGGCAGAGGGTGGAACCTCCTGCTGGTGGCACGAGTGACCCAAGCGACTCGTGGAGCTCAAGCTGAGTGTGGAGCCAGGCTTGGCTTTGGCCACAAGCTGCTTTCCTGCATGGCCACCACCCAACTGCCCCAGCTCCAGGCTGCTCCCGAGTGCGGAATCATGGTCCTCACCACCAAGTAGCTGCTGCAAAAAAAGAGGTGGGATGGGTCGTTTCTCCTCCATCATTCCACAGCCAGTCAACCATGGCCTCCCAGGCCACCAGGTCCTGCCAGGCCACCTCCTCTTGCTCCCTTTCCCATCCCTGGCCCTCAGACACACAACGGTTTGATTTAAAGGCCACCTCTTTCAAAGGACACACGGGTCCTTCTGAACCAACCTGGGAAGGAGGAACATCTTCCCTTTCAGGTGGAAGTTGTTCCACCTCCCTCCCCACCCGCAGAAACAACCCTCACCCTCCGGTGGAGCAGCTCAAAGGCTTCCACAGGAGATTTATCCCTTTCCACCTACATCGAGGGACACGTGTGTGTGTTTTCCAGGCCTCCTCGACCTGCTCCAGTGGAAACACAAGTTATTTTAGATAAAAGTAATTATTTTTTAGGCTGGATATCGCTAATTCCGGGGCTGCGTGACTGGGCTCTGCTCCCTGTGACCCTTGGAAGGCTGGGAATTCTTCTCCAGCACGGCTACAAGAAATAAACGATTATAAATATACAACTTTAAAAAAAAATGAATTACTGTTAAAAGATTTATTGCAATAATACAATAAAATTTAGAAAAAAAAAAAAAAACAACAACAAAAAAACCCAACAAAAGCCCCAAACCGTTTGTGTTTAGTTACATCCAGCTGGGAAGTGGCTGAGAGTTTTTGTGGGTGATGAGGGGGCCTTGGGTGTCCCCCTTGAGCTCCTCTGAAGGGACCTGGTTTTTGGAGGGGGGGTGGGCTCTGGAAATGGGGGTTCCTCCTTGGCAGTGCAGGTGGGACACCCCGGATCCCTGGTGGGGGATAAAAAAACCCCAAAATTCCCACATTCCTTCCTGCTTCACCAAAACTCCAATTCCAGAGATTCCTGCCCTCCCTCCTCCCCAAAAACCAACCTGGAAAACTAAATCCTGGCCATTGCACTCAAGGTTTGGACATGCAGGATTCCTCCTTGGCTACGGCTGTGCAAAACACTTTGGAAAAACAAAAAAAAACCATCAAAAACCAAACCCCAATCTTGTGGTTTATTACAAAAAAAAAAAACCCTGTTTTGGGAAAAAGCCCTGTCCCGATGTGTCTAAACACCCTCACGGTGCCTGTCGGGAACGTATCCCAATGTGTCACCAATTATTTGGAAAACCATCACGATGGGGATGAAGTTATGGCTTAAAAAGGTTTATGTTTTGGGTTTGGTGGTGGTTTTTTTAATTATTTCTCCCTAAATAAAGGAGAGCGCAGGAAGCGCAACCAGGAGCTGGCCTTTAGGGGCTGGAAGTAGCAGGAAGGCGAGGGGAGAGGGGCTGAAATGTCTATTAAAATAATAAAAAAAAAGAAGAAAAAAAGAGAAAATAACCGGCGGGGTCCAGTGCAAAATAAACAGGGGGGGGCAGAGGGGGTTGGGGGGTGCTGAGAGCCCAGTACACGTTACTGGTATGTTACTGGTGTGGGCTGGGAAGGAGCCCGTGGCTGTGGGGGAGTAAAGTGCTGTGAGGGGAGCGGTGACCAAATCCCCCCCGACCCTGGGGGGGGCTGCTGGGGGGCTGTGGGGACCCTCCCCCGTGGGGCTGCAGTAGTCAAGGGAGTCTTGGTTCTCTTCAAATGAACCCCAAAGGGCTGGATTTAGACCCAAAAGAGCGGCGGGAGCCAGGGTGTCTTCACCTAACGATGCGCGTGGACGTTCAGGGTCTTTGGTTTAAAAAGAAAAAAAATAATACAAAAAAATGAAAAGAAACTACTAAAAAGAAGATGCCTGTCCCCAAGGGCAAAGAGAAAGAGCTGCTGGAGGGGGGGTTCACTGGGGTGGGAGGACACGGGTGTCACAACCCTCTCCCCCACGCAGGGGGTGGGAAAGGGGGAGGCAAACCGGCTGGACCGGGGAGAAACGGAGCAAAACCATCCCAAATCCACCCCAAACCCAGCAGCCCCGGGAGCTGGGGGTCGGGAGAGGCAGGAGGATGGTGCCTCATGGCTGGGATGTGCCTCCTGCGTCACCCCCCTGCCCCAAACCTTCCCCCCAAGAGGGTGGGAGAAGCTCAAAGTCCCAACTCTGGGGGGTGGAAACCCTCTGTTGGAAGCCTCATGGAGCAAACCCCTCTTTCCTGGGCTGTGATACACCCCGTGGGGCAGAGGAAGGGAGGAAGAAGAAGAAAAGGGAGGAAGCAGGAGGAGGAAAGGGAGGAAGAAGGAGGAAAGGGAGGAAGAAGAAGGAGGAAAAAGGAGAAGGAAGGGGAGGAAAAAGGAGAAGGAAGGGGAGGTGTGGGGCAGAGGAAGGGAGGAAGAAGGAGGAAAGGGAGGAAGAAGAAGGAGGAAAGGGAGGAAGAAGAAGGAGGAAAGGGAGGAAGAAGGAGGAGGAAAGGGAGGAAGAAGGAGGAGGAAAGGGAAGGAGGAGAAAAGGGAGGAAGGAGGAGGAGAAAAGGGAGGAAGGAGGAGAAGGAAGGGGAGGAAAAAGGAGAAAAGGGAGGAGGAAGAAGGAGAAAAGGGAGGAAGGAGGAGGAGGAAAGGGAGGAAGAAGGAGAAAAGGAGAAGGGCAGGAAGAAGAAGAAAAGGGAGGAATAAGGAAAAGGAAGGGGAGGAAGAAGGAGAAGGAAGGGGAGGAAGAAGGAGGAGAAAAGGGAGGAAGAAGGAGAAAAGGGAGGAAAGAGGAGAAGAAAAGGGAGGAAGGAGAAGAAAAGGGAGGAAGAAGGAGAAGGAAGGGGAGGAAGAAGGAGGAGAAAAGGGAGGAAGAAGAAGAAGGAAGGGGAGGAAGAAGGAGGAGAAAAGGGAGGAAGAAGAAGAAAAGGGAGGGGAGGAAGAAGAAGGAGAAGAAAAGGGAGGGGAGGAAGAAGGAGAAGGAAGGGGAGGAAGAAGGAGAAGGAAAGGGAAGAAGGAGGAGAAGGAAGGGGAAGAAGAAGGAGAAAAGGGAGGAAGAAGAAGCAGCAGCAAAGGGAGGAAGAAGAAGAAGCAAAGGGAGGAAGAAGGAGAAAAGGGAGGAAGAAGAAGAAGGAAGGGGAGGAAGCACATGTTTTAACAAACCCATCCCTCTGCATCACACCTCCAGGAGTTTTTAGGAGCCAGCCAGCGGCGCCGGGAGCAGCTCTGCAGCGAAACCCAACCAACTCCTGGTCATTCAGTCAACAAGACAAAAAAAACCCAAAAAAACAAGGGAGCAGCTCTGCAGCAAAACCCAACCAACTCCTGGTCATTCAGTCAACAAGACAAAAAAAACCCCCGAAACCACCCAAAAAAACCCCAAACCCCACCAGAAACGTCAAACAGAAGAGGGTTTTAAATGGACGTAGCACGGAGACGGCGTGATTTCCTTAAAACGAGCTTGAAATGAGGGTTTGTTGGGGTTTTTTTCCTAAAAAAAGTGGGAAGGTGGGGAGGGATGGGAATTATTGCAACAACGCAATCCCGGTGGCGGCGTCGAAGTTGGGAGAAAAGTCCCAAGTGTGTGATTCTTTGGTGTATGAATATCAAGAGGAAAGAGCCCAGCACGATGTGAAAACTTCACCCCCCCACGGCGTGAAACCAGCCCCTTCTCCAACGGCAAATCCGGGTGAAGATTCCCCCCCGACAGCTCAAAAGGAGAGCGGGGTTGAATTCCCGGCCGCGCCCCCATCCTTTTTTTTTGTATTAAAAATATGGCAACGGAGATTAGAAAAACATGTTAAAAACGCATCGTTTCTGTGTCTCTGAATGAAAAAAAAATTTAGAAATATGCATTTTTGCCTTCCGCAAGACGGGTTTAAAACGCGCACAAACGAAAACCCTGGAAAGGAGAGTTAAGAAAACGGGAACTGCATTCGCGCCGCTGCCCCACGGAGCCGCCTCCTCTCTGTCCTCATCCCGACCCAAATACTCCAAAAAAATTGGTTTTTTTCCTTCGGAAAAGCAGGAGCTGGAGGCCACCAGGTCCCCTCCTCATCCTGACCCAAATACTCCAAAAAAATTGTTTTTTTTCCTTCGGAAAAGCGGGAGCTGGAGGCCACCGGGTCCTTCTCCTTCCATGCCCAACGCTGAGGACGGAACCGAGACGCCGAGGATCCCTCCGAAGCGTGGAGCTCGCTCATTTACAACCCGGTACCGTCAGAGTCAGCTTGGGGAAATAAAAAGGGTTTTTCTGGTTTACAAAAAAAACCCCAAAGTTTGACCTTTCCTTTGTTCCAGGCACTACTTAACCGAATATGGAAGGGTTTACTACGGCGTGGATGGGGAGGGATTCCTTCTGCAAACCCTGGGGTTGCTGGTTAGCGATGCCCGGTGTAGGCTTTGAGCCAGGAGGTGACGGAGGCGGCGGCGGAGGAGATCATGCCGCCGGCGCTGCTGCTGGCGATGGGCTGAGACACCTGGGTGCTCTGGCTCTGCAGCATCTCCACCTGCTGAGAGGGGATATCGCAGAACCTGGGGCTCGGCAGGTTCTCCCAGTCCGTCCCCAGGTCGGTCTCTTCGTCGCTGACGTGCTCGTCCCCGCTCTCGTCCGTTTCGCCGGCAGCGCTGGGATCCACAAACTCCATGGAGTCCTCCAGGTCAGCGCTGATTTCGAAGGGCCCAGACCTAGAAGGCAGAGGCAGTGCCACCATCAGCCCGGCGCGAGTCCTCGGTGGGTCAAAGCGTTCTGCTCTGGCTTGGGTAGGGTGGAGAAGTTCAAACACCTCTGGGTTTATCAGCTGGTGGAGAAACCCACTGGTTACGGAGGTGTAACTCCACCGTGAGAGCAGCCCTGAAGAGAAGGACTTGGGGGTGTTGGTGGATGAGAAGGTCACCATGACCTGGCAATGTGTGCTCACAGGCCAGAAAGCCCCCCCCAAATCCTGGGTGCATCCCCAGCAGCGTTGCCAGCAGGGAGAGGGGGGGATTCTGCCCCTCTGCTCCGCTCTGGGGAAGACACCCCCCCAGTGCTGCCTCCAGCTCTGGGGCCACCAACAGCAGAAGGACATGGAGCTGTTGGAGCGGGGCCAGAGGAGGCCATGGAGATGCTGGGAGGGCTGGAGCCCCTCTGCTGGGAGGACAGGCTGAGAGAGTTGGGGGGGTTCAGCCTGGAGAAGAGAAGGCTCTGGGGAGACCTTGGAGCCCCTTCCAGTCCCTCAAGGGGCTCCAGGAGAGATGGGGAGGGACTCTGGATCAGGGAGGGGAGCCACAATTTAAGGGGGAACAGTTTTAAACTGAAAGAGGGGAGACTGAGGTGAGATCTCAGGAGGAACTTCTTTCCTGTGAGGGTGGTGAGAGCCTGGCCCAGGCTGCCCAGAGAAGCTGTGGCTGCCCGATCCCTGGAGGGGTTCAAGGCCAGGTTGGAGGGGGCTTGGAGCAACCTGGTCTGGTGGGAGGTGTCCCTGCCCAGGGCAGGGGGGGTGGAATTAGATGATCTTTACGGTCCCTTCCATCTCTAACCATTCTGTGATTCTATGACAAGAGAGAAACGCAAACAGTTGGCCAAGGACGCGTAGCTGGGTTCCAGTCCATGGAGCAGGAAGGGCAGCAGAGCTGCTCTGCCTTGGCAGGTGGTGGAACACACACACACACACAAAAAAAACCCCTACTGTTGATAATAACTCACAGCTCCACTGGTGGGAATCACAGCCTGATGTGGAACAGCTTTTATTTTTACTACTGGCCCTGGCCAGACCAAGACACCGCAGCTCAGCCAGCGAGGAGAAGGGTGTTGTTTATGACTTACAGAGCAGGGTTGGCACAACTCTCATGGAGGCTGCGCTGTCATCCAGCGAGACCTGGGCAGGCTGGAGAGTTGGGCAGAGAGAAACCTACTGAAGTTCAACAAGGGCACATGTAGGGTCCTGCACCTGGGGAGGAATAACCCCCTGCACCAGGACAGCTGGAGAGCAGCTCTGTAGAAAAAGACCTGGGAGTCCTGGTGGACAACAGGATGCCCATGAGCCAGCAATGGGCCCTTGTGGCCAAGAAGGCCAATGGCATCCTGGGGGGCATCAGGAAGAGTGTGACCAGCAGGTGGAGGGAGGTCATCCTGTCCCTCTGCTCTGCCCTGGGGAGGCCACATCTGGAGCACTGGGACCAGTTCTGGGCTCCCCAGTTCCAGAAGGACAGGGAACTGCTGGAGAGGGGACAGCAGAGGGCTACAAAGATGATGAGGGGCCTGGAGCATTTCTCTGGTGAGACTGAGGGATTTGGGTAAAAGACTGGGAAATAGTCTGGAGAAGAGAAGACCGAGGAGGGATCTGATCAACACCTATAAATACTGAAAGGGTGGGTGTCAGGAGGATGGGGCCAGTCTTTTTTCAGTGATGTCCAGTGATAGGACAAGGGGATATGGGCACAAACTTCAATGTAAGAAGTTCCATCTGAACATGAGGAGGAATTTCTTCACTTTGAGGATGGCAGAGCCCTGGAAGAGGCTGTCCAGGGAGGTGGTGGAGTCTCCTTCTCTGGAGACATTCAAACCCCCTCCTGGACACATTCCTGTGCAACCTGCTCTGGATGACCCTGCTCTGCCAGGGGGTTGGAGGAGATGATCTCTGGAGGTCCCTTCCAACTCCTGCCACTCAGCCATTCTGTGACTTCCCAGAGCAGCACTTCACCCTGAGAAACATCTCAAGATCTTTTTTTTACTATGGGGCTGGTCAAACACTGGAACAGGTTGCCCAGAGAGACTGTGGAGTCTCCATCACTGGAGATATTCAAGAGTCAACTTGCTCTAGTTGGCTCCGCTCTGAGTGGGGCGATGGGGTGGATCTCCAGAGGTCCCAGCCAAACCCACCTGCACTGTGCCTCCAAGTTCCTTGCTGCCACTGCCTGGTGGGAGAAGCCACTGTATCCCACCCCATCCCACCGCCTGAATCATCTTTCCTGAGCCAAAACAGGCAGATCCAGTGGCCTGTGACCCACGGCCAGAGAGCGAGAGGTTTTCATGGGTTCCTCACAGCAAGCTGAGTCCCTGCCAAAGCTCATTCCACAGCACAAAGCTCCTCAGGGAAACGGGAGCAAGAATTTAACAGGGGTAAGAGTGTTTCTCCAGCTTTAGTGGGAGAAGGAGCCCCAAGCAGCGGGTTTGGCATGGAAAATTTTAATCCGGGCAATTAAAGCTTGGTAAAATGATAGGTATCTGAAAACAGCAGCTCATAGAGGAGACTATCGATATCTAAAGGAAAATAAAGAATGCTGGTTGCTGCAAACTCTGCAGGCAGCTGGGAAATGAAAGGTAAACACTCCTCTTTCATAATCCAGAAAGGAATGGGAGCGCTGCCTTCTGGCAAAGCATTTTGCTTAACAAGGCAACATAAGAGGAGAGTCATCAGGTTTGAGGCCAGAAGGGACCATTAGATCATCTCCAGTGACCTCCTCTGGAACAAAGGCCATTACGTTCCACCCGTTCCCCCTGTCCCCAGCCCAGTAACTTCTGCCTGATGAAAGCATCCATTCCAGAAACTCATCCAGCCCTGACAGGACAACGTTAAGGAAACACAGAATCCCCACCTTCATTCTTGGGGGTAATTAAACTCCGTGGTAAGCACATGTGCCTCATTTCAACCCAGCTCAGACTCTTGGCTTCCAATGGTGTCTCCAAAGCCATTCAGCAGCCTGTATTTTCTCCCCCCAAAGTCGTGGAAATCAAGTCATCTCCCAATCCCATCGCTACTGAGCCAAGATAGTTTTATAAAGACTAAACTGTTCCCCTCACTGGTTGGTATTTTCTCCAGCTCTTCCCTGTAACCTCTTCTTTTACTGCATGGACCTGACTGATGCGTGTGGAGCTCTGTAACATCAACCCAGAGAAGCCAGACCCATCTCTCTGCTCAGAACTTCTACATCACATCGTGGGGGATCCTTCAGGCTTTACTTTTTTTGTCCACTGTGGCCCTTGGATCTTTTACAGCAGCTGCTTTCCAGGGCACAGTTCTTCATTCTCTGGCTATTTCCTGCCCTCTCCTTGTTTTCAGACAAGCACATCATTTTTCCCAGGTTGAGCTATGTTACAAAGATCTGCCTCCCCATCAGTAGGGACATACCCAACGACCATGAGTGAAGTGATCAGAGCATTCAGTTCCTCTACGGGGCACTGCATGTTTTTAAATAAAACTAGATCCGTACACGAGGACAGAGTCAAAAAAATAGATTTCAGAAGGTTACTGTGTTTAAGGGGGAATAAAGCCCCAGTGAGATTAAACAAATATTTGCAGACTGTCTCAGGCACAAGGGACTTGTGACTGGATTATCCCAACGGGAAATCAATATTGGCAGCTTTCTTATATTTAAGTTGTAAAGAAAAAAAAAAAAAAGGGAGATTATTAAACTGGGGCTGATGTTCTTCTCGTCACGTACTATGTTAACAGAAAAGTTGTCTTTAGTCTTGATTTACATAGAAATGAATATTATTTGAAGTGTTGACTTTAGTCTAGAGCATTCATTGACTGGAAGTATTTTCATAGAATCATAGAATTGTCTAGGTTGGAAGGGACCTTTAAGAACATCTAGTCCACCCATCAACCTAACTCTGATTAAAAAAACCAAAAAAAACCCCCACATTACTAACCTGTGTCTCTAAGCACTATGTCAACCCATCTTTTAAATATCTCCAGGGATGGTGCCTCAACCACTTCCCTGGGCAGCCCATTCCAAGGCTTAATAACTCATTCAGCGTCAAAATTTTTCCTAACATCCAATCTAAACCCCCCCTGGTGCAACTTGAGGCCATTTCCTCTTGCCCAAAGCTTTTTGGGAAAGCTTTACCTAGTATTTGTTTTAGGGTTTACTTTGCTGGATGCTCTTGGTATTTACATGTTGACAAGATGTGGATTGGGTCATGTCTGGAGAGCAGTGCTGCTGTCCCCTGGAGGGAAGGAGCTCCTGCTTTGGGGCGTAGGGGAAATGAGTCTCTAATCAGCTACAAAGCCTCCAGCTGAGGCTGCCACCCAGCACACAGACATCTCCCAAATCTAATTTCCTCCTCAGGACCCCCCTTTTTCTGTCCTCTCCCATCTCCTCCTCGTAACTCCCCTGATCTCTGATGCGCCCAGGACTGATCTATAGGTAGAGCAGAAAGAATTTCCCTTAGAGGTTAACAAGGCAAAGGCATAACTTCAAAGGGGATTCAGTCACAGGTGAGTCGAGATGCTGCTTTTCTTACCTGCCCAAGTTCTCAGTGTCTGGGCTGACCAGGTACATAAGGTTCCTGAGCGTATGCAGTGGGTGCAACAGATCTAAATTTACATGCTACCATGGGGAAGGTAAGAAAAAGACACGATCAGTTACTGGAGGCAACCTGCAGGCACAGTTGATATTTTTAAAAGCTGTTTAAAGAATCCAAACGTGCATTGTCCCCCTACCTGAGAGAAGCAAAGGTGAAGGATGTTGGCATTCAGCTTCTTCACTGCCCGCGTGAACCTGTGTCTGCTGAGATTCTCTCCGCAGAACTCACTGTTGAAAAACACACACATATATATATATATATATATTTATCTCTCTATACATAAAGCAAAATGCTGAGAAAATACACCTACTGGAGACATCAGCATTCTGTGCCCTGGCTTCCCAACAAATCCCAGAGTAAACATCCTCACAGTGAGTTGAAACCCTGCAGCCAGTTTTTGAGCACTCAGAAGATTCATTTTTCACCTTGCAAGACTGTTGGCATTTCATCACCGAGCACCCCTCACCCCGGTCTCACCGGTTTCTGCAGGAGAGGTGATGTAAACCCTACAAAACTTGAAGATACACCACAGCCAAGCAGTTTCAGCTCTCCTTTTAAACCTCGACTCGTTTCCTGCTCCCAGCCTTTTCCCTCTGGGAAGACTGTGCAGCCAAATAATAGTATCAAAAAAAACCTGCAGAGACCCCGCACAACTTTTGAGCCCTCACTTTGCTATTTTAAACACATAAAAGAATCTCAGCAGCATAGCTGAGAACCCTGGAAGACTAACCAGGTCTACAGCTTCCTCAGTACTTCTGTAGGGATCCTATCTCTCCACAAAGACATTAAAAACCTAATATCAGGGTTTTTCATCACAAATGGGCTTCATGCAATACACTCCCAGATGTCTGGCAGCTGGGTACAGAATCACAGAATGATATGGGGTTGGAAGGGAGCTCTGGAAATCATCTCCTCCAACCCTCTGCCAGATCAGGTCCACTCAGAGCAGGTTGCACAGGAACGTGTCCAGGTAGGGTTTGAATGTCTCCAGAGAAGGAGACTCCACCACCTCTCTGGGCAGCCTCTTCCAGGGCTCTGCCACCCTCAAAGTGAAGAAGTTCCTCCTCATGTTTAGGTGGAACTTCTTACACTGAAGTTTGTGCCCATATCCCCTTGTCCTATCACTGGGCATCATTTAAGAAAGACCAGCCCCATCCTCTTGACACCCTCCCCTTAAGTATTTGTAAGCATTGATCAGATCCCCTCTCGGTCTTCTCTAGACTAAAAAGACCCAAGTCCCTCAGCCTTTCCTCATCAGAGAGATGCTTCAGGCCCCTCATCATCTTTGCAGTCCTCTGCTGTACCCTCTCCAGCAGTTCCCTGTCCTTCTTCAACTGGGGAGCCCAGAACTGGTCCCAGTGCTCCAGATGGGGCCTCCCCAGGGCAGAGCAGAGGGACAGGATGACCTCCCTCCACCTGCTGGTCACCCTCCTCCTGATGCCCCCCAGGATGCCATTGGCCTTCTTGGCCACAAGGGCCCATTGCTGGCTCACGGGCATCCTGTTGTCCACCAGGACTTCTAGGTCTTTCTCCTCAGAGCTGCTCTCCAGCAGGTCAGCCCCCAACAATCCCCATTGGTGTTTTACCCTAAAAAGAATTCCATTGCTGTCATGCCGTAGGATAAGGCCTTGTTCCACAGCCCTTTTCCAGCTATTCAGGATGACTAAGAGCTGCTGGATTGGGCTAGGATTTTTGCAAAGCACAGTAGGGTCTCCTAAAATGAAAAGTGCTCTTCATGCGTTGTCACATTTCATTTCTGATGTCAGGATGCGATCCTATCTCTCCACAAAGACATTAAAAACCTAATATCAGGGTTTTTCATCACAAATGGGCTTCATGCAATACACTCCCAGATGTCTGGCAGCTGGGTACAGAATCACAGAATGATATGGGGTTGGAAGGGAGCTCTGGAAATCATCTCCTCCAACCCTCTGCCAGATCAGGTCCACTCAGAGCAGGTTGCACAGGAACATGTCCAGGTAGGGTTTGAATGTCTCCAGAGAAGGAGACTCCACCACCTCTCTGGGCAGCCTCTTCCAGGGCTCTGCCACCCTCAAAGTGAAGAAGTTCCTCCTCATGTTTAGGTGGAACTTCTTACACTGAAGTTTGTGCCCATATCCCCTTGTCCTATCACTGGGCATCATTTAAGAAAGACCAGCCCCATCCTCTTGACACCCTCCCCTTAAGTATTTGTAAGCATTGATCAGATCCCCTCTCGGTCTTCTCTAGACTAAAAAGACCCAAGTCCCTCAGCCTTTCCTCATCAGAGAGATGCTTCAGGCCCCTCATCATCTTTGCAGTCCTCTGCTGTACCCTCTCCAGCAGTTCCCTGTCCTTCTTCAACTGGGGAGCCCAGAACTGGTCCCAGTGCTCCAGATGGGGCCTCCCCAGGGCAGAGCAGAGGGACAGGATGACCTCCCTCCACCTGCTGGTCACCCTCCTCCTGATGCCCCCCAGGATGCCATTGGCCTTCTTGGCCACAAGGGCCCATTGCTGGCTCACGGGCATCCTGTTGTCCACCAGGACTTCTAGGTCTTTCTCCTCAGAGCTGCTCTCCAGCAGGTCAGCCCCCAACAATCCCCATTGGTGTTTTACCCTAAAAAGAATTCCATTGCTGTCATGCCGTAGGATAAGGCCTTGTTCCACAGCCCTTTTCCAGCTATTCAGGATGACTAAGAGCTGCTGGATTGGGCTAGGATTTTTGCAAAGCACAGTAGGGTCTCCTAAAATGAAAAGTGCTCTTCATGCGTTGTCACATTTCATTTCTGATGTCAGGATGCGGAAGGCATCAATTAGAAAGCTGCTATTTTCAACTAGGATGGTCCCTCTGCGCTCCCAGGAGGTAAAAAGGGAAGGAGGGATTATTAACCGTGGTCTAAAAATCCTACCAGCCTTCCTGCCGCAATTAAACAGCCCAAAAATCCACGAGCCACCTACCCTTGCCATAAAAGCCCATCCAAACCAAACCAAATGAAGATCAGACAAAAGTAGTCACCGATTCCCCTCCTGGGAGGCATTTACTTGCCTGTTGCAGAGCTTCTTGGGCAGATTTACATCAAGTATGAGGGAGAGAGTGTTAACGAGCTGAGTTGCATAGCACAATGCAGCACTGATGGTATAAGCAGGGTTATTATGTTCCATATCTGAAAGAAAGAAAGAAAAACATCGTGAGAGTCTCACTGGAAAAGGAAGCCTCAGTGGGTGTGTGAACGCGTTAACTGAAGTCTACTCTGGCAAATGTCATTTCTAAGTACTGAGAACAGCCCGAAGCCAGCAATCATTTACAGTGAAATCTGTCAGAAGTTGATAGAAAATAGTAATTCCTGGAATTCCTGTTAAAAACGACGGCATGTGAACCATGTCAAAACTGTGAATAATTAACTTCACCTCCCCATTACATCCTGCTGTGTCCCAGGAGAGCGTTTCCTGCAGGAGAGGATTTCAGCAGACTAATCCCTGTACTGGTTATTTATTCCCCACTCAGGTTTGTCTGGCTGAGAACAAAAGGACTGGGCTGAGGCTCCTCGGTGCCTCCTGTTGGCTTCTGGAGCACCCCGGGTGGCCCTAATCAGACCTTGCTCCTTACCTGGTCCTTGAGTAGTCTTCTTCTCTTCCACCCAATTGTAATAGGCTGAATAGTCTCCGTTATTAGGAAGGGTTATCCAAGGCCCTGTGATACTGATGCTGGTGTCCCCGTTGTGATCATCACACACCCATCTCCCGGAGAGATAGGTGGTTCTCCTGGCTTCCGCGAGCTTGCTCACAGTGCTAGAGGTCATGGCGTTGTCACTCTCAGAAGACACGTCTGCAGGATCTCTGGAGAACCCAAAGAGGAACAGAGTGTTTCTACAGAAGTTTTAAAAATATAACCAGCAACGCGCTTGGCGGGCACTTAGCCAGATTTCACAGAGAACAAAACACTTGTAGAAACACTCCTGCAAAACTTCTTAGTCCCCAAACTGCTTCCCTTTGTTCTGGGATTTTTTAATTATCTATTTTAAGAAAGTTTAACATTGGAGACATACCTCAGATCTCTCAGTAGGGAGGTGCTAGCACCTCCAGGTTCTACTCTGGAACTTCTACCTTTGGGCCAGATGCTTTGCCTTTGGGAAACATCTCCTTCTCCCCACAAATGCTACGGGAACCGGAGCATCTAACTTAAGACTGAGCCGACTCACTTCAGGGTGGCTAAAGCTCAGCAAAATGAACCCAAAAAGATAAACCTTCTGTACCTCATGCTTGTCTTTACTTCTTCAATGGGAAATATGACTGAAGTTAGCTCCAGGATATGCGAGCGCCGAAGGTTTGCCAGATGCTCATACTGGGTTTTCAGGTCGTAGGTTTTTTTCTCCACCAGCTCTCCCAGCTTGCGGTTGTGCTTCTGGATCTTCTCCTTCTTCTCCTGATGCCGCTGAGCCCTGCGATAATGCTTCTGGTTCTCCTCTTTGATTCTCAGGAGCCCCTCTGCATCTGCGAAAGCAGCGGCAGATGTTAGCCCTGGAAAAGGAGCTGTGAGGTACTTGTAGCAAGCTGGAGAAAAGCTGTATTAATATTTATAGAAAACAAGAGCTATGGCAGCTTAAAACAGAACCTCCTGCTTCGCTATTAACGTTTTCCAGCTGCTAAGTGGTACAACTTTTTAATCTTTTTCGAAGATCTCCAAAGAGACTGAAATTGGGATTAATCTTTCTCTATCTTTTACCCAGCTATTTTTGGATTTGGAGCAGAAAAGCCAAGATTTCTCAGCTTAATTAAACTTCTGAGGTAATCGTCGTGACAGGAATAGCCTGCCTGTACACGCTTGCGTGGCGCTGGCCAAAAAGACACGCATTGCTCACAGCCAAAAATCAAGATAGCATCTTCCTCCACCACTTGTGGCACCACCGCTCCCATCAGTGTGTCCTATTTGGGCTTCGTGCTCCCACAGGTGCTCTCCAAGAGCTCGGATCCCAAGGGAGCAGACTTCTTGGTACCACTGGGGAGCACTGAATGTCTCCTCTCCCAGTCACAAAATGAGATAATGTCCTGATGTGCTGAAGTGCTGCCACTGCCTGGATTTACCCCACGTGTCAGGCACATCACTGAGGCTCGGAAAAATGTCCTTCAAAAGCATCTGTTGATTCTCCTAGAAAATAACTGACTGCAGTAATGGTTCCACAAACATACACTGCTAGAGGGAAAGAGTTACCCACCTTTCAAAAGCACAAGAAAATATTTCTTATCACTCTCCAAATACATGTCTAAAGCTCTTAATGTACTCTAGTTCTGTTAGGAATCCCAGGCTGGCAGGGGTGGGAAGGGACCTCTGGAAATCATCTCCTCCAACCCCCGGCCAGAGCAGGGTCACCCAGAGCAGTTTGCACAGGAACATATCCAGGTAGGTTTGGAGTATCTCCAGAGAAGGAGACTCCAACAACTCTCTGGGCAGCCTCTTCCAGGGCTCTGGCACCCTCAAAGGGAAGAAGTTTTTCCTCATGTTGAGATGGAATTTCCCGTGTTCCAGTTTGTGCCTGTTGCCCCTTGTCCTGTCACCGGGCACCTCTGAGGACAGTCTGGCCCCATCCTCTTGCCACCTGCCCTTTAGATATGGATCAGCATTGATGAGGTCCCCTCTCAGCCTTCTCTTCTCCAGGCTGAACAGCCCCAGGTCTCTCAGCCTTTCCTTACTTAAGGCCCCTGATCATCTTTGTAGCCTCCACTAGACTCTGTCCAGTAGTTCCCTGTCCTTCCTGAACTGGGGAGTCCAGAACTGGACCCACCACTGCAGATGTGACCTCCCCAGGGTAAAGCAGAGGGGGAGGATGACCTCCCTCAACCTGATGGCCATGCTCTTTTAATGCACCCCAGGAGACCATTGGCCTTCTTGGCCATAAGGGCACATTGCTGGCTCTTGTCCACCAGGACACCAGCTCTTCTTCACTGAAACCAAGAAAACTTCTAAGCAGCCACAGCTACCTCAAAGGACACATTCAGACTGTTGGTCTTCCCAACAGGGGAGCACAAAAATTAAAGGCTACATCCAAAGAACAGGGCCTGAGACAGATTCCCACCCATGGGGCTATGCCCAGTTGCGTTGCAGAGCTGGAACCACACAGACCTCTGGCCAGTCCGTGGTCTGACAGGGTGGGAGCCCACGATTTCCCCTCCCCAAGTGCCCCTGCTCCTGCAGACACAGAGTGAGCTTTCTCTGAACATCAGGAATTATTCCCAGTCATTTAACTGTTGCGATCCGTAATGTGTTGGGTAGGAAAGAAGATCTGATACGTGGGAGAGGCAAGTGAAAGAAGGTGAGAATAGTTTCCCTGTGCAGACAAGAACTAATAATCCTCGGGTTTATAAAATAAGTGACCTCCTGTGAGAGGAACTGTAGAAAAATTGACTTTTCTCTGAGTGATACCAGGAATTCAGTCTCCTTTCAGTATTCCCGTAACTTCAACAGAAAATCAATTAATGCTTGCATTCATGTTCCCAAACTCTCCCTTTGCATAAAGAATAAGAGAGAGAGGAGGAGTAAATTGTCCATCTGTTCAATTTTCACATTCATATTGTACTTGAAAGGCTCCTTTTCCACGGAGTGAACTCCCTTTTCTGCGGGGCCAGCAGCAATTACCAGAGAGGAGGGGAGAACGCTGCACACACCTTTCCTCTTTAGCAAGTCCTGGTGCAGAAACAACTGTCCTTTTTCTTTTTTTTTTTTTTTTTTTCTGCTTTATGACCCAGTTTATGAGGCGATTAAAACATTTCAGGACACCGCTATGTCCCACACATCTATGTTGCCTGATAAATGCAAGCACAGGCACAACAGAGCTGCACCAGATATTTGCAAGATTTTCTCCTTGAACTGTTCTCCATAAACAGAGAATATGGCAAACACACATATTTCAAAACCTTATTTTAAGAAGCGCCAGTTATTGAGGTATCCAGTCAATGGCAAAAGCAGGAGCCCAATGTTCTAGAGATTGTTCTTATTTTAGAAAACTAAACGACGCCATATCCAAGAGAAGAGAAACAACCTATTAGCATTTTTTAACGTGGTCCAAGAGCGAACCAAGTTGAGCTCCTGATCCATTGGCAAGAGTTCATTTTGGGTCTATCTGCAAGTTGGTTGGGCAACAGTTAGGTCAGCTCATGGGTTCAATCTAATCATGTTCACTGTGAATCAGAGAAGCTGCAAAAGCTGCAGATAATACGATTCACAGAAGTGTGGAAAAGTGGAGGAACTCCCTCCCCTCCCCAGTTGGTCCTAACATTTTGCCACCTTCAGAGCTGCGTGTTGAGAAAAGGTGGCTAATTCCTCAAAGTCACACTGACTTCCTCTTCTCCCTTCTTCACAGGCTAAAGAGGAGTAGTTATTATCTCCTTCATAATCATCTTCTACTGCAAAGCTGCTTTTCTTCACCTTCCTCTTCTCTAAACCAAACTAAAGGTTCTTAGCCATTCCTTGTGTTTTATTCCTAATATTCTCTCCCAGACTTTCTCTATTTGATTTGTATCTTTCTCAAATTGAACAAATTGGTCTTCAGACTTCCACTGAGGCAACACCAGTGCCAGGCACAGCAGGATAATTGCTTCCATCTTAAATATAAAATGCTTATATTAGTATAACCTTTCTGGAGCAGCATTAGATTGGTAATTTTTATTTAATTTGCAATTTCCCTGATCCTTTTCTATCAAATCTCACCACCAACCCCCACTCTGGGTTTATATGTCTCTCTTTCCTACACAGCATGTACTCAGCTTTGTCCTTTTCCAATGATATTGTGAATTTATCTGCATGATTTTGAATCTGACCCTGTTCTCCACAGCATCCACTTTGGCTTCCTCCATTACACCTTCTATTCTACCACGCAACCTATTATGGAAAATATTGAACAAAACTGGGCCAGGAACCGGTTCCTGCTGAGCTCCACCTGTCTCACCTCCTCAGTTTGACCAGTAATCACCATTCTTTGATTGCAGCCTTTCTATTTAGCCTTTTGTGTCAATCTTACAGGGGTTATACCCAGAGCAAATGTCTTTGCTTGCTTGTGAGCCAGCCTGGGGTAGTGCCCAATGGCAAGGAACGTTGCACCTTCTCCTTCATCCTCCACTTGACCCTCAGGAGAAGAAGTTGATTTGATATGGCCTGTTCTTAACAAAGTGATGCCTGTTTTTAATTTCCTACCTACAAAGTGGTCAGGGGTTTATGATAGGATGACCGTGTCATCAGTTCTTCCTCCACCCTTCGAAAAAAGATGCTGTTTCCACCCTGTTTCCTTGGACATTCTCCTCCCCTCATGTATTCCCAAGTGCTCCATAAACTAATTCAGCTTGTCCCTTAAGTTCCACAAGGTGAATCTCATATGGCCTTGCTGACATAATCACAATAACATCTAGCTGGCTGTTTTCTTTCCTGAGCCTGCAGTCCTCTCATGATGCAAAATTTAATCTGGCTAATCACATTTTCTTTGTGAGAAGATGAAGCAAAGGGGGCGGCTGAATCCTTCGGACTTCTCTGCGCTGTGATTTGCTTGCTTTCCCGTTAACTGACAGGCTTGCCTACTCCTTTATCTTCTTATTATTATACATTTCTTATTGTTACTATCCATCCTCCTTATTAATTGAAAATCACTTTGCATCTCAGCCTTTTTGATGTTATCACAAGCTTGTGCTGTTCCTTTATAACTGTGCTGAGGTGTGTGACTCTGCTTCCACTCCCCATATGGCTCCTCTTGAATTTCAAGTCACAAAAACGTTCCTGATTCAATCAATAGGCTCCCGAATACGCTTCCTCTCTGGGTTTATATGTCTCTCTTTCCTACACAGCATGTACTCAGCTTTGTCCTTTTCCAATGATATTGTCAATTTATCTGCATGATTTTGAATTTGACCCTGTTCTCCACAGCATCCACTTTGGCTTCCTCCATTACACCTTCTATTCTACCACGCAACCTATTATGGAAAATATTGAACAAAACTGGGCCAGGAACCGGTTCCTGCTGAGCTCCACCTGTCTCACCTCCTCAGTTTGACCAGTAATCACCATTCTTTGATTGCAGCCTTTCTATTTAGCCTTTTGTGTCAATCTTACAGGGGTTATACCCAGAGCAAATGTCTTTGCTTGCTTGTGAGCCAGCCTGGGGTAGTGCCCAATGGCAAGGAACGTTGCACCTTCTCCTTCATCCTCCACTTGACCCTCAGGAGAAGAAGTTGATTTGATATGGCCTGTTCTTAACAGACCACTTGAACCCCAGGAGAAGTTGATTTGATATGGCCTGTTCTTAACAAAGTGATGCCTGTTTTTAATTTCCCACCTACAAAGTGGTCAGGGGTTTATGACAGGATGACCGTGTCACCAGTTCTTCCTCCACCCTCCGAAAAAAGATGCTGTTTCCACCCTGTTTCCTTGGACATTCTCCTCCCCTCATGTATTCCCAAGTGCTCCATAAACTAATTCAGCTTGTCCCTTAAGTTCCACAAGGTGAATCTCATATGGCCTTGCTGACATAATCACAATAACATCTAGCTGGCTGTTTTCTTTCCTGAGCCTGCAGTCCTCTCATGATGCAAAATTTAATCTGGCTAATCACATTTTCTTTGTGAGAAGATGAAGCAAAGGGGGCGGCTGAATCCTTCGGACTTCTCTGCGCTGTGATTTGCTTGCTTTCCTGTTAACTGACAGGCTTGCCTACTCCTTTATCTTCTTATTATTATACATTTCTTATTGTTACTATCCATCCTCCTTATTAATTGAAAATCACTTTGCATCTCAGCCTTTTTGATGTTATCACAAGCTTGTGCTGTTCCTTTATAACTGTGTCTTTTTGATGTTATCACCACAAGCTTGTGCTGTTCCTTTATAACTGTGCTGAGGTGTGTGACTCTGCTTCCACTCCCCGTATGGCTCCTCTTGAATTTCAAGTCACAAAAACATTCCCGATTCAATCAATAGGCTCCTGAATATGCTTTCTATCTCTCCTTTGCACGTAGGTTGTAAGCAGTGCTGCATATTCTCTTCTGAAAAATGACCCTACAAATCCATGTAAAATATTTAATGAGGTTAAAAACTGAAGCCGCCGAACGGCATCGACCCACCAGCCTGTGTCGTATCCCAGTGACTCTTGCTCAAGTAGGATTTTTAGGATTTCTAGACAGGTGTGGGTTAAAATCCATCAGTTACATGAAAATCGTAACAGCTGCAGAGCTGTTTGCTCCTCTTTATCAAGAGGAAGTGATGAGAAACACTACACTGAATTAAGCCATCTCTAGGGACAAAGCCAGAGTCAGAGGCTGCTGAGCATTTACTTTTAAAGCTGCTGCAAAATGATCTCCATCCAGCTGAATAATGCCTACTGTTTGCTAATTAAAACCCGAGCATAAAAAGGCTAAAATCCACTCACCGATTTGCCTTCCGGTTGATTTAAGAAGCGACGGTTTGGAAATTCACCATTTTAATAAAACTAACACTCAAATTCACATCAATTGATTTTTCACTCTAAGGCACAGAGCTTTCCACATCACAAAAGCACAAGCGTTACTCACGTCTTGTCATTTCATCATTTTCTTTGCAAATGGTCTGTTTCAGCTGTTCAATCCTCATCTTGCAAGACATTATTTTCCATCTCTGAAAAAAAAAAAAAGAACATTCAGCAACTCTAGGGCACAGACGACTTCAAACACAGACTAACCATTAACAACAAAGCCAGCAGCTTTAGCGCAAGAGCAGCAGGATATTCCTAATTGGATCGGACAGGCAAATAAATATTTCATATACTGTTTTGTGCACAAACAAACCGAATGCTTAGTATAAGGCCAATCTGTATAGTCAGTTATTGAACAAATATCTAGTAAGAAATGAAAAATATTGATGGTTTGGAGCGCTCTGCTTGCGGAGCCAATTTTGGTTTTGCTTACAAGAGGCTTTTTGGGGAAGCAAGACAACGCCCTCAAGGTAAATTGTAAATTTAAACTAGGAGATCTAGGAATTCAGAGAGTTTAAAAACTGTGGGACGCTTTGAACAACTCACCAGCTGATCAGTTATCTCTTTCCCTTCCATGGCCTTCAAAACACTAGAGGAAAAAACACGATTGAAAGTTTTATGACTATCTGGACTGCATCTGTCTCCAGCAACAGCACGTTAGAGAGACTGTTTTGTTTTTCTGAGAGTTCTTATAGTTTATTTTCATTTAATAACGACAACTTACTGTTTTTGGAATTCCCTCTGTTTGGTTTTAAGATGCATCAGCCTTTCTTTCTTGTCTGAAAACCTGGAAGAGATTAAATGGGTTTATTGATACTTTGCACAATATGGCACCATAAGTTGTCTGAAACGATAACAAGACTGAAGCTTGTGGGATTCTATAAAGCTCGACTATCTGTCCTAATCTTTGGAAGTAATGGCTAAAGGTATAAAACTCTTGCAGAATTCTAGAGCGTCCTTCTCACAGGAATTGCAACAGAACCTCTAAGCTGAGGAAACATCAGCTCGTTGTATTATTGAACTCGTAAGCAAATTGCTTGCTATTTCTAGAAGATTTATAGCTCAGCGATATCAATACTTTGTGTATTCAGAAAAACATACAGTACTCTAAAAACCTTTAGTCACTGGAGAAATTAACAGTAATCACAGAATGATATGGGGTTGGAAGGGGCCTCTGGAGATCATCTAGTCCAACCCCCCTGCCAAAACAGGTCCACCCAGAGCAGGTCCCACAGGAACGTGTCCAGGCAGGGTTTGAATGTCTCCAGAGAAGGAGATTCCACCACCTCTCTGGGCAGCCTCTTCCAGGGCTCTGCCACCCTCAAAGTGAAGAAGTTCCTCCTCATGTTTAGGTGGAACTTCTTACATTCAAGTTTGTGCCCATAACCTTTTGTCCTGTCCCACTGACAAAAGACTGGCCCCATCCTCCTGACACCCACCCTTTAAGTATTTATAGGCATTGATCAGATCCCCCCTCGGTCTTCTCTTCTCCAGACTAAAAAGATCTAAGTCCCTCAGCCTTTCCTCGTAAGACAGACATTCTAGTCCCCTCATCATCTTTGTCTCCGATACCACAGTGAGCCTGAACTGCATTATTTCCCACTCTGAGCCCACTCTGACAGTGGGAAATGCACGATTTCACACACCCTCTGTCTCTGATACCACGGTGAGCCTGAACTGCATTATTTCCCACACCAAGCCCAAACTGACAGTGGGAAATGCACGATTTCACACACTACACACTTTCTCCCTTCTAAGATGGAAGTGTCTCCCACTTGACTCATTAATGTGTCCAAATAGGAGGGTGCTCTCTCAAGACTTTTACGTGACATCCAAATCTTTCTTGTGTTAGCAATGGCAATAAGTCACATTGTCTTCTCCTTATTTCTACGTGGCACTTGTAGCCATCTCAAGTCCATGACCCAATCGTCTGCTCGAGTTCAGCTTCACCAGATGCCTGAGGTATGGAACTATAAACAGCTGAGCAGAAGGGGATTTTTTTAGGCTTCATCATCCTGTGTTTTCACCTCTGGAATATGCAGCAGCCACGCTGTGCTCCCCTCCGTGTGGTATTGAGAAATACATTCAAAGAAAATAGCATATGAGCGATGCATATTGAGGAATTACAGTGAAGCGTGAAGTGACAAAGCTAAGAGTAAGAGCAAACAGCAAGAGAGACAGCTAAGAGATATAGATGGCATAAAAAATAGCAAATATGCTTTGCCTTCTGCCAGGGTATGGCTTTCCAGCTTTCCTTTGTGCTTCCCATCTTACAGCACCATCCAGATCCACGCCTTGGGTTAAGTCCACGTATGGGAAAACAATTCATTAATTTCCCTCTGGAACATGTAGAACGGCCAATTTCAGCCTAACAAAGCTCTAACACTTCACGTACAACCCATCAAGTCCTTTATTTCAGAGATATCTAAGCTTTATTTAGAAAGAATCATACAGCAAGTCTCGACAGGATGGCATCTTGGGCCTCTCTGTGCAACTCTGTGGGTTTGATTTCAGGTATAACTTTAAAATGCTTCATTTTTTTTCCTTGAAGTGCTGAGATCTGAAAGCTTGCAAATCTCGACAGGATGGCATCTTGGGCCTCTCTGCTCAACTCTGTGGGTTTGATTTCAGGTATAACTTTAAAATGCTTCATTTTTTTTCCTTGAAGTGCTGAGATCTGAAAGCTTGGTGGCTACTTTTGGGTGCAGAAAGTGTGTCATCACCCTTCCAGATGACATTAGAATCAGAGAAGGGTTTGGGTTGGAAGGGACCTTGAAGATCATGCAGTTCCAACCCCCCCGCCATGGGCATGGACACCTCCCACCAGACCAGGTTGCTCCAAGCCCCGTCCAGCCTTAGCATTAAAATAACAACAAAACTACTGGCTGCTGCTGCCTTTGTAGTCAACCAAAAAAAAAAAAAAAAAAATTGTTTTCCTTCCAAAACAAACCAAAACCAAAGGTAGGTGCTTAGTATAAAAGCCAGAGGCCACGCGTGAGCCGGAGGAATGTGGTGCAACTGGAGCCCGGCTGCTCAACCCGGCGTCTTCCTCCTTCCTCCCTGTCCTCATCCCACCAGTCATCATGGAAATGACAAAAGTGCACTGTACCGGCCTCCTGCTCTCCGCAGGGTAATGGACACCTACTGTACCCCCGACCTTTGGTTGCAACCAAAAATAACTTGGCCCAGAAACGCAGCGCTCAGCAGTCAGTCGCACGGGGAACGAGCGCACTGCCGTAATTTGGCAATTCTTGTTTTCCGAGCTGGATTAATGGGCACGGAGTCTGACTAAAGGCAATTACCCAAATGACGTCCATCACATCAGCGAAAAGTTGAATGATCTGTCAAGAATCCGGGGCTAAATTAAGTTCTTAGCGGGGAGGGAAAGATAGAAATATTTGTGAAAGCCTGCAAAAATTACAGCTCACCACGCACTTCAGCAACTGTGTCAAACAGCTCCGCCAAACTTCTTCAGCAGGTTTCTCCTGAGCAAACATTTCCATTTCTTTATATAGCCCTAATTTTAATTGCATCGCATGGGGTATATCATTTTTCTCCATGCATCTACAGCCTTTCGATTTGGCAAAGAAACAAAACTTTGGATGAAGCATTATAGGAACTCCCATAAAATGTAAACTGAGAGAAGGAGAGGACTCGACATCTCAAGCTATCCATTAAATGTTTCTTTTTCCTCAAATCTTATCGTATTAAGCTGAGATTTTCTATGGCTTATTTCCACACGTTCATAATTAGAGAGAAGCAATCAAAAAAGGGGAATTCCTAATCTACAGGAACTTTATGTTGCAGGAGTTGAGGACAGCAATAGGCGCATCCATTAGTCTATGGATTCACCACAATAAAACTCCATTACTGCAAAAAGCCACTATTCTTAATCATAACCCCCAGTTTAGAGAAGTCAGACGGGCTTAGACATCACAATTATATCGTCTTTGGCTTTTGCCATCTGCAGACATCTAAAGCAAAGCAAATTCAGTGTGCTCACAAAATACACTCTGAGAATTTATGCATATGACAGGCTGGAGTAAAGTCCCAGGAGCAAGAAGAGTCTCTGAGCTGAAACCAGCATGGAGATGCCAGCTGAGCTTTTTGAATATACAACAGGTTACTAATGAAAAGAAGAACGTCAGTGATTATTTTACTGGAAGACTTCCGGACTACTCATCCTTAATTGTAGCTGTACTTCAATAATTAATCTTAACAGCTCCTCAATCTCTCCCCCGCACAGATACAGGGTGTGATTTTTGCCAGACAGATGAACAACTGCAATCTCACTGTAGCTTTTATAAAAATTAGCACACAAACCAGTCCAGTGAAAAGAAATCTGAAATCATTCTTACTGTTAGAGTGTGAAATCACTTATCCTTCTTATAAGGAAAAATCACAAGAAAATTCTAAAAATAAAACATCACTGGGTACAAGGGGTAACGCTTGCTTTTAATTTTAACAAGAGAAAACCCAACATTTTTCCCCAATTTGTAACACTTCACAAAGACAAATGGGAGGCCCGAGTGACCCCATAACACTTCCACATTCTGAATTTCTCACACCGTGCTGAGAACCCAGTCACACAAGAAAAGCCCTTGCCCTGACCCTGGCGGCCCCCTCCAGCACCGGCCATAAGGTCGATCTAAAATTAACCCAGGTACTACTAGAAGGCATAAAATAAACAAATAAATAACGGTGACAGTAAACACAGCCTGAAATGCAGCCAGCGGGCTGCACCTGTCCCTGCATGACTCTGTTGGGGTGCGTGGTCCCTGCGCCTCACGTCACGAGAAATTCATAGAAACCCTCTCACTGCTTACAAAGAAAACCCGCCTCTGACACCACGGGCTCTTCCTCATTTGACATCAGCCATTCCAAGTCTTAATTAGGGAATGCAGATGAAATATTGCATAAATAATTCCATGATCTTAAAAAAAACATAAATGAGAAACCCATGCTTTAAGGGACTTTGTCCCTACATTGAGCGCTCCCATCAAGAACGCTTGTTATTCACGTTGTCTTATTCACACACGTCATGTTATTGCTTTAATTCATTAATATGAAGTTGCTGTTTGCAATTAATTGCACCACCACTTGGGAAAGCTGTGAGCAGCAGGAGAAACAAAGCCTGGGGGAATCGAGCACACAGGGAGGTCCCAGCAGAGCAGCAATCCCCACTGACGGAATCATGATGTCCAGGTGGGGGAGAGGGGGAAAGAGGAAAAAAAAAATAAATAGAAAAAATAAAGACTAATTCTTGTAGTTCAGAAACCCAGTGTAAATATATAGATTTCCTACCCACAGATGAACGGGACAGTTTAAGCATCATGCAGTGAAAACTGTCAGACAGAAAAGCTTATCTTTCTTATATCTTCTCACGTGAGGCGAGTGTTTGGTTTTTTTTCCAACAAGCTGTTGCCTCTGGTACTTTGGCTCAGACTGCTCTGTTATGGTTTTGTTTTTGTGACAGGTAGAGGAATTTAAACTTTGGTTAATGGAGAACGACGGTGGTTCCATGATAACAAAGGCTACAATTGAATTTCTGTAATTAAGCCTGATGTTTGGCCAAAATCTCAAGGCTACAAAAGGGACAGGAAAAAAAAAATCCTTGGTTTATGTTCCAAACTCCAAATCTAACTTTTTCACAGAAGCTGCAGACAACCCTGAGCAGTCTCACGCCAACACAAGTTTTCCATCGATTTTAGAAAGACAAAATACAGCTTGTGGTTCTACGACACAGTTTCTCATGTCGAAAAAGCACGAAAACTCATCTGGTGACAGACCAATGTCTTAATTTTGGGAGCTGATTCACACCAGTTAATGGAGGAAAGCCACCGCCATCCCCTTGGCTGTTCCGGCGTTTGGCAGAAGGATGGGAAGAGCCGTTGGGGCAAGGACCAGACCGTGCCACGGGCCGCTCGCCACCTTCCCAAAATAGTGCAAGAAATCACTCCCAACAGCTGCTAACGAAGCCACAAACGAAGGAGCAAGAACACGGGTGGCAGCCAGAAACCAGAGCTGCTCTGGAGAGGGTGAACTTTTGAAGAACCTGGGATGGACATGCCGTGAACAACACCTATGGAGGGGCCATCTGCATCTGAGTCATGTAACGAGGATATTTGCTAATTGATGTAGCACGTCCCAAAGAGCCAGAGCTTCGCACCGAGGAGCAGGAAGGTGCTTGATTAACTCAAGAGGAGGTTTGGTTTTTTTTCATAATTCTGAAAGGGGGCCCCACCATGAGGATTATTTATACAGAGAAGAAAATTAAAAAAAAAAAAAAGGTGGTATTTCCTCGTACACCCTCCTGATTTTGTTTAATGACTTAGAAAACGACTGGTTTAACGTGCTTTGCTGAAAATAAACGTTAATTTACAAATATCCTACCGCTGGGGTCTTTCTGCCCTGAACTGTCTGGACCTTCTGTCGGCTATGGGGACAGGGGCACGACAGGCTGATCTCTGCACCTGACTAAGCGAAAGTCGGGGCGATATATTATTAATTATTGTCAGTATTAGGCGACAAACCTTCCCCCCCCACCTCGGCCCTGAGGGGAGCGGGGGAGGGGCGGCCCAACGGCCGCAGCGCGAGGCGGGGCGACCCCCCCCCCC